AGTTTTAGATATTCTGAAGAGTTATGAATCCACAAAGGTTTTTTTTTTTTCAGGAGAGTTTAACAAATCCTGTTCGCCACAAATACGGTTTCTTTAGTCTTGGCAAAAAATGCCTTTGCATTTATATCAGTATCTTCCCTAAATAGTATGGCATAATTTATTCCAAACCCTTAATGGTTAAAACCATCCATTTATACATGTTTTCATATGTTTACCTTTCATCAGGAAGCTAATCTATTTTCTTCAATAGATGTTCCTAGCATTCTTACTAGTGCGGACAAAATGACTTTTAGAATTCATTTCTTCAGGCAACAGTAGTTTTAGTGAGAAGAAATCAGTAATATTGTTACTGAGTGCCTGGAATCACTGGTATTTAAAAACTAAATCACTGATATTTAAAAACTACATTTACTGCAAAATCACTAAAAATGTTATTGATGAAGCAGTTACTGTACTTCCTTTTTCACAAAGAAGCATACTTTACCAGTAAATTTAGTCTTATGGATTACTTCTTACGTTAATTCTAATTAACAGTTTGTTTTGCTGTCCCTGACTTGTTATTATTTTATTACGTGTGGTGACTGATTCATACCATGGAAAGTGAGTAGTGTTAAATGATGTTAAATCAAAATGATAGCTTAGCCATCCTATTTTTCTTTCTTGGCATTTTCATAAATGACTGCAGAAGACCCAAGGGAGTGTAAAGTTGCGCTTCCCATTTCATTTGGCTTTTTAACCCACAGGCAAATGCAGAGTGTGTCCAGTCTGCGCAATTAAATCCCATGTTAGATACCTGAGCTCATTCTGAGAAAGATAGTACCTCTGCATAGCTCAGCTCCAAGCTTTGCTGGATTTGATGCTGCGCACCATATAGTCTCTCATTAAACTAATTACTCTTGGCACAGCCTCATGCTGATGCAGCCGTGCAGCTTGGAGAGCTGCACGTTGGGCACTTGGCTCAGGAATCACCGCAGCCTGTGGTGTGGATGTGCACTAAGTCATCTGGTCAAACGAGCAAAGCTTTTGCTCATTAGTTCAAATGACCATTTCATTGGGGAATTTGATAAAGGATGAAAACTTCCAGATGCTTTGTGCAATTACTGAAAACATGGTCATGATTTTGACGACTACCTGATATTTAACAGTCAGTTAAGCTGCAGAGTAATTCTTGTGTTGCAGTCAAGGAACTTGAATCAATGATTTCCCTATTAAATATTGTTTTGGTAGTACTGTTTTTTTTATCAGTGAAGCTGACTTCTCAAAGCAGATCCTGGGTTCCAAGACAGCATTTCAGGAAAGCACCTGGATCTCCTTTCTCATGTTTTGCGCAGCCAGGAGCGAGCTCTGGACGCAGCTTGTGTGCTGGCACGGTCAGCTCACACCTGTGCGGATGAGGGCAGCCGGGCAGGTACTTCAGAGGTGATTTTGTAAGACTGCCCTGAAACTCAGCTATCAGTCTGTTGATGAAAATGATGGACGAATTATACATTTACTTACACAGCCTTAATAACCCAGAAAGTTTTGTGTGGGTGTGTGTGTTTTTCATCCAAAGTCCACTGAAATCTGTGAAATGAATCCTAGTTCCTACAGGTATGAGATCTGGACTTCAAACTGGTGACTAATTCCATGTATACATACATAAACCACAAACTTCAGGAGCACTTAGCATCTAGCAGTTGATCAGGTTTTCATTCATTTTCAATCATGTCACTGAATTCTATCTTAGTCACTTGAGCTGTTAGTCAGAGGTTATATTTAAAAACATACTGTCCAAGAAGTTTGACAGATGTTACTCTTCAGTTACAAAATATTTTCAAACCGTAGATTTTATGGAACAAGCAAGCAAAATGGAAAGGGAAGGAAAAATCTGTCTGGCAGTTTATAGCCTGTTGTTTTATCCTGTTTTACAGCCAAGTAGGTGAGCTGAAAATCTAGCCATGTACATCAGCAAGGCATTTGTGTTATGAAAGTGGGATTTCAAAAGGCTCCTAAAGAAATCAGACACTTTTGCCTTTGATATAAATCAACCAAAACATTGGTGAGTCCCTTAGAATGGTATATAAATACACCGGGGGAGTCAACTGGAAGCTGGTAGATCTCAGATAGCAAAACTGTGGGACCTGAACAGAACTGAAAACAAGTAAATTACTGCTACATAGTAAGAACGGTGAGAAGGGCATTTTATTTGCAAAAGCTGCACTTTTCTACAGTTTCGCCTTGTGAGCAGATGGCTACAAATGACCTAAGACCTTTAAAAATTGAATTGGTGAAAGGATCATGTTCTGAGTTAATTATATGCAATTGTTCAAGGCACAGAAAGAGACTTGTGTCCCCACAAGTCTCAATTTGTTAAGTGAATGTGTGCTGCAGGAGCACATAAAAAATATTCACTTTGTCCAATTTTATGGAATTTCTATCACAAAAAAAGTTTGGACTGACTAGCAACACTAACAAACACATTTATTTTCTCTGTTGATTTCTTAACTAAGCAACTTCAGGTATTTGTTCAATATCTGATCTCCTAATTTCATTCCTTAGAAAAATTGGCTTGAGTTTTATGGTACATGGTTGAATAGGGAATAAAATAGTCATTAGGTTAGCTCACATCATGAGCTACCAAGTGACTAACCAGTACAAAATTCCTGCTACCTGTGCTGCTGATTTGCTTTGAAAAGTCCTACTCTGCTCCAGTTGGTCATTACAAATAAATACTACCTTATGAGCATATAAGATAAATGTGCTCTAATCTAATAGCACCGTGACCAAGAATGCATTAGAGGCAAAGATGCCACATTCTACAAAGTACTTAGAAAAAAAAAATTGCTACTTGTCTGTATAATGGGTTATATTGAACTTCTGAATAAATTTGATTGTTCCTCTAGTTTGGTTATCATGCCAGTACTAACCGTTTTACCTAGAGATTCCTCTGGCTGAGGAACACATGTAAGCTTTAGACTCAAAAAAAATCATTGAAGTAGAAATGGAGAATTAAAGTCAAAAGTTGTGGGTGATAGAAGTCACCTGTAGGACGTACAAACATGCTGCCCTCACTCATCTGCTGAAGCTTTTTATATAGAGATACTCCATGTTTTTTGAGCCCAGCAGTCTAGTAAACAAGTGTTTTCCCCCCCCCCAAAAAAAAAAAAACCCCTTTGTTTCATGTGACTCATGTTTTTAGATTGCTTGGGGTGATGTCAACATGGTGTTTCTCTAACTTCCAAGAGGTCACAAGATGCATACACTGAAAACAAATTCTTGATGAGGAGATTTTTCTGCAATGCTTTACCTCCCCAAATTGTAAGATTAAATATAAAAATCTAATAGGAATTTATGCAAAATATATTCTTGCTTTTATGCCAAAGTCAATAGTTTTCTCCAGTAAGTATAATTACATCAGAAATCTTGATATCAGAAGTCTCTCAAGCTATGACATAGACTCCAGGCTAAAGTAATGCATTAAACTGGACAGCGCAAGCACAGAATTTCTATTTGAAATATCTCATTTGCCAATTCTTTACACTTCTTTTCTTTTAAAAAATTAGACATTTATCTGCCCAGAAGACCAAGAGCTTGCAAATCCAGAACTGCTCTTGTAGAGGTTTTCAAAATGCTCTATGGGTTTACACTCAAGGCACCCACGAGGGCTGTCAGCAGTGCTATCAGTTGTATTATTTTAAGAGGAAAACTCTGCTAAGGAGTTCTCATTCTTAGAGCCCAGTAGAGGGAGCTTTTGGCAAACAATTAAAGTCCAAAAGTGAAGAGATTCAAAGGTTTTCTTCAAAGCAAAAGCAATGGAGGAATACACACACTTGAAAATAGACTTTAACATAAGCTATAACTTAAATATGGGAGAATCTTTAATTCCTAATTTGCCCAAGTTCACTCTTGGAACCCCTGAATTTATATGACATGATAACATTGAAATGGAACCTCTTTATTTCTTTAATGTCAAACCTTGGCTCCTACAGACTTTCTGTCTAGAGTGCAAAAGACCAGACAGACTAAAGTCACAGTTTATGAAATGCAGTTCATTCAAGAAATGAAACTATATCTTGGTCAGCAGAGAACACAGAGTAGTTCAGTAATTAAACTGGCTTTTTATTTTCCTTTCAGCAATAACTACTTCTGCAAAAAAAAAGACAAAAAAAAGAATAAGTATCATTTGTATAATACATTTTGTTTGAAAGAACATTCTCTGTGAAAAGAGATTCTTATCCTTGTAGATTTTGTAAAAAAGTTGACAGTTTAATTCAGTCTGACAAAAGCATTGTGAAAATCTGCTAGGCCATGCACAAAAAGTATATCCCACTATTTATCAGTATTGTTAACGATAATGATTATGGAGTGTCCATTCTACCACAATCTATCTGTCTTATTGAGTAAGATTTTGCAAGATTGGTTTATTAATTCAGTCTGTCAAATGAAAAGCCACAGCTGTACTGAAAACATGGTTGGTCACCAGATTTTTTCAGATGAATAAAAAGGGAGTTGTGTTTTTTCTTTCTTATATGTAAGCAAAACAAACTGAATGGAGCTCTCAATTGTCAGACTTTACTTCTGGCTGATATGTCAGTGAATAGTGAATGCCATCACTGGTAGCCCTTTTATCACAAAGTAATTGCAGTAGCCCAAATTATATAGCGTAAATTTCAATAGGAAATTCAAAAAATTATTTTTTTAGCTGAAAAACATGTGTCATAAATCATGTGTTTTCGATCATGCTCCATTTAATAATTATTAATAATTATTACCAATTATATAATTTGAAAAGTAGGACCTGAAGGGATATCTGTTAGAACATAGTTCAAAGATATTGTTTGCTTAGTTACATTTTAAAACCTAAAGCTGTAAATTCTGTTCCAGATGGAACTGAATGTGCATATGAATTTGGAAAGCTGAGCAATGTGTATTTTTAGCTCAAATTAATTCCTTGCTGTTTAGAAAAAATAAATGACTATGGCTGCAATATACGATGTATTCTGTTTTGCTTGGGGTTTCAGCTGCTACAGAGGTGTCCTTCTCATTTGATGTTGGCAATGGACCTGTGGAAATTGTCGTCCGGTCTCCCAGCCCACTCAACGATGACCAGTGGCATCGGGTCAATGCTGAGAGGAACGTCAAGCAGGCCAGCCTGCAGGTGGACCAGCTGCCCGTGGAGGTGCGGAAGGCACCCACAGAAGGACACACGCGCCTGGAGCTCTACAGCCAGCTCTATGTTGGTAAGATGCAGGCATGGGAGTGAACAGGCTTCACTCTCCGATACTGAGTTCTCATTGCCTTGTGCCTTGTCAGCAGCTGGGAGTGTAGCACGTGATGTTTCCCTCCTGAAGCACTTGCTTGACAGCACTCTCACAAAGAAAAGCATCTCCATGATTATAGAAATGAGATAAGTAAAATAAAAAAATTTGATGCTGCTAACTTGGCATACAATCGTATCACACAAATGGATCAATTTAGTCCAGCTGCTTTCTGAAGCTGCTACTCTCCATGCATTTTGGATATATTATTCCAGCAGTGCTTGCATTTCCTTCTCTGTTAGCGCTGGAGCCGTGAAGTGCAGACATGCTGCATGCCATTAGCTGGAATCATATTTGCATTAAATTATAAACAAAGAAGCTTTTTTTACTTCTCTAGATATCTGTCCAGAGGAGAAGAGCTGAGCAGGGAAGAGGAAAGAACGTTACCTATTTTTTTTTTTCCTTGTTAGCCAAGGTTCAACAGATGAAATAATTTCTCTGGTAAATAGCAAACTGTCACTGCAAACTGTGTATGTGTCACCAGATGTGCAGTCATTATTAACAAGCTCAGATTCACCTTTACTGCTGACCGTGATCCCTGTGAAAGGTGGTTTCCAAACAGCTGAAATATGATGTTTGTTTAGAAAACCTTTCTAAAAGTCTTAACCTTTTAAAGGAAACACAAAGGGTTTTGCTCTAAACAGGAGGAGCTGCACAGTTCTTGGGGAATTGCTTATAGTCGTTAATTGTTAGAGGTCGTTTTGAATTAACTGGTACTGCTCCAATGTTCAGAAATATTTAATGTTTGCCTTGCCAAGAAAATGTCTGAATCTGCACCAGATATTCTTTCTGAGTCATACCCTTTTCATATAATTTGGTGACTGGGCACACATCTCAAAAGAGAGGGACTGATTTAAATTCTTGCCCTAAGAACAGGCAGACAGAGAACTGATTTGAGATAGAGTACCCCAAATGAACATGCTGAGCATCAGACTGAATGAGAATTATTTTGGTGCCTTCTGTTCTACTGTCAGGAGGATAACTATCTATTCCTTGGGCCAAAGAGAGTACATGAGGGATGATAGTGGGCTAGGACATTCATCAGGAGGGGAAAGAAGAGATTTTGATCGTTTCTCACCACCACCATGTACATTAGTTAATATAGAGTAGAAATGTTTCAGGATGCCACTCCTCTGGAGTTACCCAAATTGTCCATTTACCACCCTGCCCTTTGGAGCATCCTACTCTCTGTGTCTTTAGTCCAGTTCCCCACCAGGTAAATACCATTTTTGATGCTCTGCTGAGGTGATTTTTCAGATTTCTTCAGGAAAAAAAGGGGTGGACTCTGCAGCATCTGCAGTAGTGCAGTAACCTAAGGATGTGAGGAGGATGAGAAAGAGTGAGAAGAACTCACTGTCATTTGCTTGCATTTTTTTAAGTTTTTTGATTTTTAATCCAGGCCCAGACAGTTATTTGCTATCTGAAACCACATTTTCAGCAGCTATTAAGCAGAGAATAAATTTTTAAAAAAATGCAGTTCTTAGTGAGTGCTAAGAAATGTCATCCCAACCCAAATTTTCAAATGCAGTTCTTCAGTGTTACTTCCTTCATCCTGTATACAGGCCACTAAACATTATACCTGATGCTGTTTGGAAATGAGCATACATATTCCTATTGCATCTTGAGAGTGTGGATTTTACCCAATTCCCCATCTTAACTAGAGAAATTTGGCATGACTTAAGATATTATAGCATTATTATTAGCATCTGTTATCACTACCTCTAACCATAGGGAACATAATGCTATATCTTAGCTGTAGATGCCAGCCTATTGCTTTCATTGTTTCCTCTAAAAATCTTGAAGTTGAAAAGAAATTAAGTCTTCCAGGCAGAGGACTGGAGTCTTCAGAAGTAATCAGCCAAGGCACCTACCATATGTACTTGTTTTGGTATGGTCTGAAAGCTTACATTTTTGTTCGTTTGTTTTGTTTTCTTGATGGTTCATTAGGGCATGGCAATTCCTTGGATTTTCAGAGAAGCCACTTCTTTCCAGCTGTCCTCACAAGCATCCCATAGAACAAGTCCCCATAGAACACGAGCAATAACATCTGTGCAGCGCAGTCCCAATGCTTTGCATTCCCTTTCAGGTGCTGCTGGGGGCCAGCGAGGCTTTCTGGGGTGCATCCGTTCACTGAGGATGAACGGGGTGACGCTGGACCTGGAAGAGAGAGCAAAAATCACACTGGGGGTGAAGCCTGGATGCTCTGGCCACTGCACAAGCTATGGGATGTACTGCGCAAACGGCGGGAAGTGTGTCGAGAAGTACAACGGCTACTCCTGTGACTGCTCCGGAACGGCCTACGATGGCCCGTTTTGCATCAAAGGTAAATGCCTTCCTGCAGGGGACACGGTATGAGGAAAGAAAAAGCACAACAGAATCAGTGCTTCAGCGCTTATTAACTAAACAAGTAAATCCTGTTTAATACTTCTCACAATCAAGTCAAATTATACTCCCAGGGATTTATATGCGATGATTTAAAACCACATGTCTCATTAGTGATAATGTATGTTACCTATTTAAATCAAAGAACACAACAAAATTAATCAGGAATGCCTTTACTCATAGCAGCTGTACCCCACAGTCCTGAGCTATGGAATAATAAATTCCTACTAACGTAACGTAATGTTTATTCCTTTAGTCAAATATGAATTTAAACAAAAGCTATCCTGCTTTACAAATGCACCCAGAGATAAATAGGGGTTGAATATTTTATAAACTGGGGAAGGGATGCAGCATTTGGATTCAGATTTTTTTCTATTCATAGCCAGATGATACCCTTTACTGGATCAAACTGGGTTAGAAATTGAACTTGTCAGGTTAAGAGAAGGTGCAGAGCTCTTGCATCCATGTTAGTCCTTGGGAAATGACAAAAGCATGGACTGAGTTGTCAAAATCAATTATTGTTAAGAGGCTGTTTTATTATTGACACATCTGCCTACATAAGGGAGAGACAGGAAGGACAGAGAGTTTTTACATGCTTAAAAAAGGTGTGGATCAAGATGCTTATTTATTTCTGTATGGTTTTGTTTATTTTGACTGGAAAGATTGTAACAAAATAAGTAGTAATGGGAAATACAATTTCTCAAATGCCTGCACAGTTTGAAGATATTGTAGTCATTCATTTCCTTTGCATTTCATGGGATATTCCCATTATATTCTCCTAATTTTGTTTTCAGCACTTCAAAGAAATTCATCATATTTTTCAGAGGTGGTAGTACTTCTTACCAGCTTTCTTTCACTGTGTTCTAATTGGTATCCAGTCTTTGCTTTTCCTAAGCATTTCCAAAAACTGCCTTGCAGGGAAAAAAAAAAAAAAAAAGAATGTTTCTCATCTTAAATACCTTTGTCATTAAAGGAACTTCTAGTTTCATGAACTGCTCTTCTTCTACTTTAAAGTTACCCACCAAACCGGGACTCCTGCTGGCAGGTTGAGTCATCAGTGACCAAATACCCTTAATCATTTCCTCACACTGGTAGAGAAAAGCTCCTCTCCTTTGGCATTCTGCTTCCCAGCAACTTCATAATGTCTCGTCTTTTCTAAGACATGCTTGGAGGGTTAGCTTGAGAATATCCAGACACTGCTCCCTTCCAGCCATACTTAGAAGAAACTAAGAGGCAGTCGTGTATTTTCTTCTGTACTTCAGCCTATATTCACCTTCGTTTTGTTGTATCAGCTTTGTCCATGGTGTAAATAGCTTATACATCGGAACAGTCTCTTCTGAAAGCTAAAAAGTCTTTTTCACATCCCCAGATATTTTGATGAATGATTTTTTTTTATAAATTCCAGTAAATGTGATATATTTTCAGGGCAGTTGAAGGGAAACATGATTCCTGCTCTACTTAATGGCTTCCACTGTGCTTGCACACCAGAATTTCATCAAGTTTCAATATGCTGTGTTGCTTCAAAGACGAACATAAAACATGTCCATCACCTCCATGACTGTAGCTCTTGGGAATTTGAATACAGTGATCTTGGTTAATTTAGCAAATGCTCTAAAGAGTTTGATATGAGCTGGGGAAGAGTGGTAATACACATTTAGTGTTGCCCTTCTCCAGTGCAGTTATGTCTAGGAGAAACGCATTTGGGTAGAAACTCTGTCAGTCTCTTTACAGATGATGTGTCAATACACTGAAAAAATAAATGCTACCATACTCAGTGACTTTATTTATTTTACTCTCTTTTACTGAAATTCATCATGCTGATTTTTTCTTACATTTTTCTGATTCTCATAAGGAAAGGTAAACCCTAGACTGATCCCCTAAACAAAAATAGCTGTAAGCTAAATGTTTTATTGTTCCAGGTTCTGAATATGACAAGATTAAAAGCACCGTGAGGTGAATAACTGAAAACCCACATATTGTTTTCATGTGAGTGACTTCATGGGGCTTCTCTGTAAAAACAACCAGGTGGCAACAGAATTAAAGTAAAAGGATAAATTAAACATGAAATAGGCAGTATTTGTAGCATTCCATGATAAAAGTAATTACAAAACCTCTGAAATAAATGATGCTTACAATTAGATCTTCAAAACAATTCTGTTTCAAGCCTGTTAAATTTTATATTGTAAATGTAACTTGCATTTAGCCTTTTAAATTCAGTAAACTACTGCAACATCTTGCAAATGTTGCCAAACTTCTGATGTTGTTGATGAAGAGGATCTTACCTTTTATACCTAGTAATAGTCCCTGGAATCTTACAACATAAGCCCCTAGTCCATAAGGCAAGACTAGATATCTTTATTAGAACTAAGAGAATCACAATTTACAGTCAAATAAATACTGGCAAAACTGTAGACTATATGTAACAAAATTTGTTGGTGAAGAGCAGGGACCTTTCACATCACATACCACTTCAAGTATACATCAGCTGTATACCAAATTTACACAGAATAGTTAAGGTTGGAAGGGACCTCTAGAGATCATTTAGTCCAACCTTCCTGCTCCAGAACAGACACCCAGAGCACGGAGCACAGGGTGGCATCCACGCAACTTTGGAAGATCTCCAGAGAAGGAGATTCCACAACCTCCCTGGGCAGCCTGTGCCAGGGCTCTGTCACTCTCACAGGGAAGAAGTTCCTCCTCACATAGAGATGGAACTTCCTGTGTTGTAGTTTGCACCCATTTCCTCTTGTCCTGTCACTGGCCACCACTGAGAAGAGTTTGGCCCCTTCCTCCTACATTCGCCCTTCAGGTACTTATACATATTAATCAGATCCCCTCTCAGCCTTCTCTTCTCCAGGCTAAACAGGCTCAACTCACTGAGTCTCTCCTCATACGAGAGGTGTTCCAGTCCTTTAATCATCTTTGTCGCTCTCCGCTGGACCCTCTCTAGAAGCTCCACATCCCTGTTATACTGGGGAGCCCAGAGCTGCCCCCAGTACTCCAGGTGCGGCCTCACCAGAGCTGAGCAGAGGGGCAGAATCCCTTCCCTTGACCTACTGGCAACAAATTTACCTAAATGATATTTTTACACATGTGAATGAAAGTATCTCAACTCTGTTATTTTGATTAAATTTTTTATTAATGCTTCAATATCTTTCCTCATTCAAAAAGTACTGAGATTTCTTTAAAAATATTTTTGAAGAATATGTTCTCTGTTTTCCAGCAACTCTATTCCTTAAAGAAAGGGCATAGTTGAATATCACTATGTTACTATAATATTACTGTGTCACTTATGATTTTTACTCATATCACAATATGGATTTGAATACTGTGGTGTTTAGTGAGCAGAATGGTGATGGCAAATACGTTTTCCATAGCTAGTGATGTTTTGTGGTAGCCTCATCAGATTCCGTAATCCCTGGCCGGCATTACGAGACACCGCTTGTGTCCCAAGCAATATTCTTTGGCACTTGTGAAAATAGAGAGTTGGGCTCCAGCAATGACCGCAGAGCAGCAGCTGGCATTGCAGGGAGAAGCGATGCCTCCCTGGTGGTCCAGGTCTCCTTAGGAGAGACCTTACAGATCACCGGGGCTCCTAGGGGCCTCTCGAGGGAATGCAGGTGGGGTCTAATTCACGATAAACAAGACTATTTTCCTTTGTTGCCCATGCTAGGAATTCACTTAAACTGTCAAGGAAAAACATGGTTAATGCTTTGCACTAGGACTTGAGTTTGTTGCTTTTATTCCTTTGAGTAAATTTTCTATCCTGAGTGGGTCTGTCGGTTTGATATTCATTAGAACCAGACTTTTAAAATCATCACGTTGCAATCAATAAGAGATGTTTCAAGAGAAATACAATACTCAGCAGGAGGGAAGGGTAGTATAAAATGTCACCTTTGATTATACCACAGTCTTGCCCTCCCACTGCATTTAATTTGCCACAGGAAGCTTTTTTTAGCCAAAAATTTTCTGTCAATAGTTGTCACATGACTAGTCCCATGCATGGCATGGCCAGCTTCTGGGGGTCGATTCCACAGATGTAACATAGAGATAAGCACTAACAGAAAAAGCAATAGGAAAAAGCTAAGCATCATTGCTAGCAGGAAATCACCCTACAGTTGTTTGTAATTAATCAACATATCTCAGAATAAAAGCAGACCTTGCATAATGTGGATTTTTTTCTGATAATATCTATCCTTAGAATGACAAGAAACTGTGTTTTCTCCAGCCTGATTAGCAGCAGATGACACGTGATTAATGTAGTAGCCTGAAAATTGCATTATTTTTTTGTAAGAACAAAGTGAGAAAATGCAGCCTGACATGTATTCTTACTTTATTTTAATTTTGTGTTTGGGGCATTTACAATTGGCTTCAATTCTCTCAGTATTACACTGTTCTGAGAAATTGTTATGAGGAATAGCTGCAATGTTTCTGCAGCCCTGCAGATTGCTTTCTGACCTTTCCCTGTCCTTTGCTTAATCATAAATTCTCTCTTTTTTCCCACATCTGTCCTCCTACCACCATAAAAGCATTTCTGAGAAGATAATTAATTTTCTTTTATAAAACAAACCTTCTCCTTACTTTAAACCAAAAGTACTGAGGTTCAAATGCCAAAATGGGTTATGTTGAGCAAGCGGCTGCACTGTAATGTAGGGCCCTCCCTGGGGAGAAAGAATTCTCGCTTTGGGCATTGAGGATCACCTTTAGGAATGAGAAATGCCCACTACTAAGGCAGCCTAGCGAAAAAAAGAAAAGAAGAGCAAAACATTAAATAACTGGTGTTTGACTCAGATGCCTTCAGGTGTTCTGGGAGAGTAAATTCAAAGTTTCTCACTATCTAAGCAGTTGCTCATTTTTTGTGAGCAAACATGAAGTGGAAGAGCACAGCATATATACCTTTTCCTCTAACTCCTTATGCAAACCTTATGCTATGCCCAAATT